ACTGGCCATCACGATACTTAACCCTTGGATACGGGAAGCAGGTCATGACAAGTGGTATCAGAGCAATGATTTATAAAATAATAAATAAAATAATAAACTAAATCGTCATTGGAGCATAGGACACACGCATATTTTAAAAGTAGGATAGCGGGTAATTAGTCTATAAATATTATATTTTGTTAGTCGATTTAATTATATTATAATTTTATATTATATGTATAATTTTTTTTTTGTGCATAATTTGCAAAGAATATTAGATATAATTTATATTTTTTATAGTAAAAGGAGGAAAAGAAACAAAAGGGTGTCGGGCTCAAGCACCTACCAAAATTATAATATAATTAAATACATAGAATTCCCAGTTCAGTATTAAAAAAAAAATTCATTTCGATTTTTTTAAAAGTGGGTTCAAAATTATAAAGATACTAATTTTGAAACTATTTTTCGTCAGTAGAAAGTTCACAGATAAAAGAAATGAAAGTTCATCTCAAATTCTTTTAACTCCTGCATATGATTCTGTCATTTTATTTCCAGTCGCTTGTTTAATTGTGTTATTATTTTATTTTATTTTATGACAAAACTAATGAAAAGTTTTTAAAGTCACTGATTGTTTCTCATTTTGGTCCAAAATAATTTTTAACAAATAAACAGTAAGTTGTTTTTGGTCAAGTTTTTTTTTTTTTGAGGTAATATTTTCTATCAGATTAATCATCTAATATATATTTATCAGAGTGCGTAACGGATAGTTTACACATATGACCAATTTCGAGGATGAAATTTTAAAAAGAGGGAAGATTGTAACAATTCGAAAATTTAAGTTGTCTTTTAAATTTTATACTAGTATTATGGTTATATGTGATAATATATTATTAAATAAATAATAATAAATACAGAATCTAATTCGGCATTTGATTATGAAATATGAGATTGATTATGGATTATTATTTGGGACCAAATTAATAGAAATACGAAATTATAATAGTAATTGGGTTAAATTAAAGTTAAAGATAGTAAACAAATAAATATAAAAATAAAAATAAATAAATAATAATAATAATAATGATGATGATGATGAGTGTGTTAGAAATTAATTTATTTATATAATTATATTAAAAAATTGAGTTAAAATATAATTAGCTTAAATAATTATTAAAGATAAATATAAACCCATGAATTTATCATCAAATCTGTGGGGGTGATTTGTGCCAGGCCACGTGTTGGTCAGAGAATAGTTTCACTTTCTTATAAATAGGAAAGAGTTCATCAAACCTGAGAGAAAAGGAAAAGAAGAAAGAAAGGACAAGGAAAGGAAGAGAAGGAAAAGAAAGAAATGAAGGAAGGAAGGACGCAAAGAAAGAGAGGAATGAACAGAAAGAAATGAAGGAATAAAAGGAACGAAAAAATAATAAATGTTAAGAGAGTCTTTAGTGGTAGAAAAAAAAGAGAAAGGTATCAAAGATAAGATGAGTTATATTATATTTTAAGTTATCATAATATATTTTACATATATTTTAACTTACCATAATGTATTTATATAAGTTATGTTTTATAAATTATTATAAATTATATTAATGTTTCGATTACGTGGATTATTTTCTGAACTCTATTTGCTTAAAATGAATCTCATGGATATGTTTGTTTATATTTTAAAGAATATTTGACTATTACCTTATAAATAATTATGTTTTGTAAGTACCATCACGGGAGTCTCACGCGTTGGGAGACTTAAATAATCATTGGCTTTTGTTTGGTCACCTTGTGGCCCTCTATTGTCATGGATCTATTGACCTCTGTTCTGTGCGGAACAAAGTACTGTACGGAGATAAGTGCTACATTATTGTGAGAGCCACCTCTATAATCCGTACGAGCCACCTATTGAATCTATACCTCTGTTCTAAACCCATTGACCTTTTGATTTCTGGTGTGGAACAAGTGTTGTACGGAGCTAAGTGCTACACTGTTGTAGGAGCCACCTCTAGAGTTCGTACGAGCCACCTCTTGAGTCCATGCATTTGTTATGTTATGTTCTGTACCACCTTTATAATCCGTACGAACCATCTATTGAATTCGTACCTCTGTTCTGACTGTCACTCCTATGACCTCTGTTCTGTTCTGTTCGGTATGTGGTTATGGTTATTTATTTACATAATCTCAATTTTGCTACTTAAATGATTATTTGTTCAGACTAAGTTATCTTAAATATTTTAGTTACATAACAATTCATGGTTATTTTGTGTCCTTTATACTCTTAGTATAATATTTCTCACTCTGCCATGTGCTTATAGCTGTTTACCAATTTTCAGGAAACAATGCGATTCAGAAATAGCTTTTGAAAAGTCGGGTTGAGGAATAGACACGCACATCACTCTTATGATATTTTTCTATGTAAATATCGGCCTTTTGGTCAATAAATTTTATAATAAAAATAGAAGCTCCAATGATTATTTTGGTACCCTCACTTGAATATTACTTCCGCTCACGTTTATTAATTTGTTTAGGAATTGGCCGGAGGTAACTTCAGTTACTGGCCATCATAATACTTAACCCTTGGGTACGGGGAGCGGGTCGTGACAAATAGCATCTTTCTTCTTTTCCTTTCATTCTCTCTTCCTTTTCTTTCCAGGTGAATCTCCTCCTCCCTATTTATAGGGGGTGAAACCATTGTCTGGCCAACACGTGGCTAGGCCCAAATCATTCCACAGATTCGTCCATTAATTATATAGATTCATACTTATCTTTAATAAATATTTAAGATAATTACACTTTGACCCATTTTTAAAATATAATTGCATAAATAAATTAATCCCTAATTAAATTGCACTCAATCGTATACTAACAGAAAATTAATTATTTATTTTATTACCACACCCATTATTATTATTATTATTATTATTATTATTATTTATTTAACAATATATCATTACATACAAACATAATACTAGTATAAAATTTAAGGGACAACTTAAATTTTCGGATTGTTACAGGAATTGACCCGTGGATCATGAATTTTTAATTTTTCAATTCGAAATCAAATCACGGATTCAAAAAATCAATCTAAACTTATCAAATTAGACTAGATTAGATTAAATTATGAATTTTACAAATTTCTTACTGAGCCTTATCTATAATATTAAAAGTTTAAATTACAAAAAGGAGACCTATACGGGAACAAAACCAATCACATTCCTTAAACTCACAAATAACTCACCTGTCTTGGGTGAGGAAAAATTATTTGGTTTTCATACTTCTCATCAATTATAATATATTATATATATATTTTTTTATTTTTCAATTACTCAATAGTAAGTGAATTTTATGTTTTTTTAACCAATTTATTGGCGATATATTTTGTACAAACCAATTACAACTTGACACGTGGTCCATAAGAGGTAATTTGGGAATCAATGAAGGTCTCCCGTCATTAACAGACTTGTGGCAACTTGTATTGATGGCAAAGGATTTGCGATGCATGGAACAATCAAGATACACAAGGTGATATGACCAAATAGTTGCTTACAATTTAAATTCAAATTTAAGAGGGAATGCATAAGAGTTGTATAGTAGAAGCAAACTGTTTAAAGCCATGTCTAGTAATCATGGAGATCACTTCGACAATTATCATCTACTTTGATAGTTATCAGCTTTCAACGGTTATCCTTAGAGCCTATAAATAGAAGAGAAGGCTACTAATAAAAGTCCCTCCCGAACAAGATTCAAAAACCAATTTATTTTTACTTTACATTTTCCTGTCTTTTACATTTCCAGTCCTTTAATTTCTAATCTTTTATTTTCCTCTACTGCACTTCAAATTCCTAAAGCAGTTCTAAGTTAGTTTGTCTCTGTAATCACCTTCGACGTTGTGGAAGTGCAAAAGTACAATTGTAAACTCTTGTCTATTTAGGCCTTGTTTGTTATCTCCTAAAAAAGTCAAAAAATCACTATCCTATTTAAGTCACATCATCTTATTTAAGTTAAATCACCTCTCTACCACATCACTTCAAACCCAACCCATATTTCGTAAAAAGTTAAATAGTGCATTTATTTAGAACATCCCAAACAACCCTTTAATGAAATTTGATTTCTGATGTTGTTCTTTCCTCTTTCTTTTATATTGATTATTCTTATTAATTTTCTCATAAAAATAAGTTATCAGTAAAAGTCTTCTTTATTGAGATTAAAAGAACTTTGAAGCAATCGTTTGGTTAATTAGTTAACATTTAATACTTCTGTAAAAATTTATTGATCTTTACTGACACACTCAAATTACATTTCTAACTTTCAAAAATCAAAAAAACCAACACAATCAAAACACTATTAGAGCATCATTTGATAGTGTTTCAGGACTAATCAATAGGGACTTGTTTTGAAAGGTAGATTAAAAATTAATTTTTTAACTTTTTTTTAAAAAAAAATATATAAAAAAAAATAGAGAAAAAATATGACCTAATAAAATTTAAAAAGTAAAAAAAAAATTTTAAAAAATTACTTTTAATTATGTTCTGAGATCATCTCCAACGGTTCACCAAACTTGACATCAAATTTGAATTTTGGTGAAAAAGTCACTGTTTGGTGCTCCAACAGTTGCACCAAATCGGTATCAAATTGAGAATTCACCAAAAAATTCATCAAAGTGAGAACAGGCCGCAGCTTTCACCATTTCACTGTGCGTGACCGTTGGGGAGACCAACTGGTCGACCAACCGGTTGACCAATCGGTCCACCAATTCCCTTACAAAAATTTTGGTTCAAACAGGTCAAAGACCCCTATTTTAATGCTCACCATTGAAGCAGTCTATATCAAAATGAGAAAAATGAATCTTTTTTAACTAAAATTTGATAAACGATTGGAGATACTCTGAAAAAAAAAAAAAAAAAAAAAAAAAAAAAACTCCGTACAAGTCAACTCACACGTCAATACCAACGACCCCTGACCCCATGTACACAACCGTAATTTCATATTATCCTCCGCCACCGACCACGAAAGACTCCATAACGTTCCCTTCTCTCTCTCTCTCTCTCTCTCTCTCGGTATATACTGTAATATAACTCGCTCCTCTTCGCCATCTACTGCGAAACAAAGAGAGAGAAGAGAGAAGTTTGTAGCATGTTGTATATGCTATTGTGGTAACGGGCGGCGGTGGTAGCAGCAACGGCGGAATAGCGGCGGCGGAGATGGCGGAGGCGCAATACGAGAAAGCGAAGATATCGGTGTGGTGGGACATAGAGAACTGCCAAGTCCCGAAAGGTTGCGACCCACACGCGATCGCTCAGAACATAAGCTCCTCACTGGCCAAGATCAACTACTGTGGCCCCGTCTCCATCTCTGCCTACGGCGACACCACTGGTATTCCCTCCTCCGTCCAGCAAGCCCTCAACAGCACCGGCATCTCCTTAAATCACGTCCCTGCAGGTATACATACATCTTTATGATTTACGAATTTTATGAATTCTTTAATTATGTACATGTTGTTTGTTTTGATCTATATCTATACATATAATATGTGAGCACATGATTTGTATCTAATATCTAATAATAGTGTCTTGCTTTCTCCTTCTTTTATGTGGCAAATTTTATATCACAAAATAAAAAATTATTTTTTAAAAGTGTGAGCAAAATTTAAATCAAGACTGATTTTATTACGAACGCTCTTACCATTTAGACGAGATATATATTATTATATTAATTAATTTATTATTTATTTTTATACTTACTTATTTGAATTACGCAGGTATATATATATATAGATGAAAATACAGTGTTCAAAATAAAGTAATTTATCAATATAACTAATTAGTCTCTTTTATATATCTTGATAATTTGGTGAAAACTACCTCGTTTCATGTATTATGTAAATAAAAATAAAAATAAAACAACTGGATTGTAGAGAATCGCAAATTGAATCATACAAATAACTCAATTTCATATTCAATAGCACGATTGAATTGTTTTTGTTGAAACTAACATCAAATCGTATGAATCCAGTTGTGAATTATAAGATTCTAACATCCATGTTTGTGGCTTTAATGTGTGCATCTCATAATTTGGGGTGAAATTTTAGAATCATGAGCATTTATGTTTCTGTTGATGATGAGATCTCTCTTTGTAGAACAGGAAAGGGGTTTCTTGACCAGTCTTTCTCTCTCTAAAAATTTCTTTATTTTTTGCTATGTTTTCTTTATAGCTAAGGTTCCCTTGCTTGTGCTGAAATTGTGTGATCCTTTTCTTTTAAGTTTTGATCTTGAATATATTTTGAGGCATGGTTGATTGGTCATCAATTACCGGACTATGTTTTTTCCTTTCTTTTTGTATTAATCCTTCTTTTGATTAATATATCAATTCCTTATTTCCATGTTTTCTGATCTATTGATCGGCCCTTGTTATGGCCCATAATGTTATTTTTCTCTCTAATCTTCCGTAAAATTGTCTTGAATTTTGCTTTCTAAAGAATGTTTTTGTTTAGGTGGGCTTGGAAACTCCTGCTTTAAACTACGATAAACTTCGAATCTTTGTGTCAAATCATTGACTCTCATATATTCTGATGAGTGGCTAATAATTCCATGTTTTGTTCCTTATATCAGTGTTGTGAAAGAGTTGCCCAAGTGTTGGAAATAATAAGCACCATCAATGCAACTAACAATCTGCCATAGGAAGGTTATGATTTATGTATATTTCTTAATTCCAAAAAAAAACAAAGAAGCCAATAGGTCCAGCATTCCACTAATTCCAATGATTCTGAGCTTGTAATAGCAAGAAACTGTAATTTTTTAAAGCCGAGATCTTTGATTTCTCTATATCTGTAGTTTCCGTTGTGTTGGACTTCAATGTTAAGTTTTATGGCAGTTCATTATTGGCATTAATGACTGACATGTTAGTTCTAATTTTCAGCATGTGGGCTCCTTTGCTTACCTTAATTATATGGAAGCCCACATCATCCAACATAACTATAATGACCAATAATAAAAGATCAAATCTCTGGTAGAGACAGAAGGAAGCTCTTGTGAAGATTATTCACATTCATGGGAGCAAATTGTGGTTGTTTTTTCATGTTGGATGTTATTGATTTCTTTTTCATATATTAAGAGATGTTCGCACGCATTTGTGCATCTGTGCCTCATGAGATTTTGTGGCAGTGCACTTGTTGCATTAATGGGTGTAGTTAAAGGTTTCCAGTTAAGAGGCAATTGTGCCATTGATTTTATTATTTTCTCTCTGAAGCCATTTTTCTACTATTTGTTTGAATCTTTTTTACTGCAGGCTCTAGTACTCCCTTTAAATTTATGACTTTGTTAAATTGGGAAAAATTAAAGACTTGGATTTAATGTGATAGGTGTTAAAGATGCGAGCGACAAGAAGATTCTGGTGGACATGTTATTCTGGGCGGTGGACAATTCTGCGCCTGCTAATTATTTGTTAATTTCTGGTGATCGAGACTTCTCCAATGCTCTGCATCAGTTGCGCATGAGGAAATACAATATTCTCCTAGCACAACCTCAAAAAGCATCTGCACCACTTGTAGCCGCTGCAAAGACTGTATGGCTCTGGACAAGTCTCCTGGCTGGAGGACCACCGGTATCACATGGTGACTTACGTCAATTTGTTGATAGTGGCTCTAGCAATTTACCCAATTGCGATTCGTTACATATTCCAGTTTCTAATCATAGTCAGATAAACCAAACTGTGGAAACCCCCCCTCATTTGGGAACTCAGAAGTTTTCAAATATGGGAAGGGGAATGGAAACTAAACAGAAAGGGAAACCAATTCGGAGAAACCCGAGTCAACCAAATATTTCAAGTACTTCAAGTGTGCCAATAGGGGTTCAAGAAAATCAGAACAATGCAAATGCCCGGCAACCTGGATATACACAACGTATGCAATTCAAGGACCCCCAGGAACCATCTAGTGCTTATAATCCCAGAATCTCCGTAAGTGGACCTGCCCCAAACTTCATTCCTGGCAATTCTGACCTTTCCCGGACCAACAGTAATAACCTTCAGAGCACTTATCAAAATCATTATTCGCACCCTGTAAGACCAAACCCACACAGCCATGCATCTCATTTTATGCCTCTGAGGCCTGATGGACCAGGCTGTACTTCAGGTCCCCCAACAAATGTGCCTGACGTCGGTAAACCAACTATTTCTGGATACCCCAGCAGTGATTACAGACCTTCTATTTCTCAACCGCGAAACAGAGTAGAGCCGAAACAAAGTAAGATAATTGAGTCTCCGAATCATGTGAACTTAAACGGTCTTCAAGGAGGACATACTGTGCATAACACACCATCATTTTACCATGACACACCAAACAACAGGTACCCGAATGGTCCAGAATTTCTTCCATCATCTTCCTCGGCTACAGGTACCACTAATACCTCTGGTAATGGTGTATGGGGAACTCCAGGATTCCCCAAACATTCAGACTATGTTAAAGGCCAAATCGGGTTAGTTTTACTTGCCTTGAATACCCTAAAAACTGAGAAGATCAAGCCAACTGAAGAAAATATAGCTGATTGCATACGTTATGGAGACCCCAAGCACCGCAATCCTGACGTTAAGAAAGCCCTAGAGAGTGCAATTGAGCAGCAGCTGGTAGTAAAGCGGAATTTAGGTCCTTTGCAAGTATATGTCGGTAAGAATGAAAAACTATGGAGCTTTGTGAACCCCACAAGGGGTAATCCCGAGCACTACCCAAAAACAACTTGGGATGAAATCCAATTTTTTTTAACATCCTCTGCTGGACGCTCTGCAATAATGGCTTCTCAATGCAGGTAAATGCCTACTGGTTCACCTCAAGTTACATTGGCTTCTTTGGATTTCATGTAACTACAAATATTTTCTTTCATACTTCTTAGGTATGAAGCAGCTACTATTCTGAAGAAGATGTGCCTAAAAGAGCTTGCTTTGGGTGACATACTTAAGATTTTACACCTGGTGATAAACGCAAAGAAATGGATCACGCATAATCAATCAGGGTGGCAGCCGGTTAACATCACTCTTGCAGAGACCATCTCTGATTGGGTGCTGTAGCTGGTACATGAGCTCAATCAGAACTATCGATTATGGGTTAGCTTTGGACGCTTATTTAAGGCGGCCAATTAGGTGCTTCTTGTTTTGTTCGAATCTAAAGGAAGTTAGAAAGATTCGTTGGATGAAGTGTGGTTAGATATCTAGTTACGCGCAGTTTAGCCCCTGTTGGATGGAGGTTTGGGAGGGGCAGAATGGGTACAAAGCTAATATCTATAGAGGCAAATTTGCGGAGGTTGTAAAGTTGCTAGTTGTTTGATATAGGTCCAACTGTTGTGGTATGCATTGCTTCACACAGGGTTGGAGCTTATTTATCCTTCTCGATCATTAGATATTTCAACTTCACGAGAAGTTGAATTAGAATATGTGCATAGCTAGCGGCTAAACCAAACTCTTCAATGAAACATTGCGGGAGAAGTCAATAAACCTTGAAGCTAGTTATTCCGACATAGACTAATGTTTATGCATTGTACTGAAAATGAGTAGTTTGTGTTCATTTGTCACATTCAATGTGACGCCCGAAAATTTTCGGAACATCAAATATTATTATTAAATAAATACAAGATTTTTGTAAGGTTGTAAGCATAGGAAACATCGTCAATGAGTCATTTGGTCAATAATCAAGGAAGATCTTAATAAAATTGGAGGAGTCAACATAATCTCCCTTTTAAGTCCAACCACCTTAGATAGCAAAATTATCTTTGTGACAGATTTTTACAAGGTATTAACATAAAGTCTACATGAGTTGATGGAATACAAGGATATGTTACAAATAATATATATTAATATATAAGCAAAATAATAATTACAAGAGGTATGTTTTATTACATCAAGAGTTTTTAACACTTACAACCCCAACATGGTTACAAAAGGGACTTTAACAAAAGCTAGTTTCTAATTCTCTTAGGGTGGACATTCGTATTCAAATACTTCAGTTTTGCCTTTGATTGTCTAATAGTCTTCAACACTTGGCATGAAAGGCCATAAGTTTTGAATGTTAAACACACAAATACGCTGTCCCATTTTCTCAGTTCAATACACTCACAAATATACGACTATATATATAAGCATGATGAACAAGTAAGCAAGTAAACAATTAGAGAGTCACAAGGTTAGGTATTATAATCTAGAAATCTCCCAAAGAGATTTCATCCTCCCAACTAGAAGAATTGGATTTAGATTATTCAGTATGCCCTCACTTTTGCTGCTTTGCAGACCTTATCCCGGATATCTATAACAGTTATGTACCGTGTAGCGCCAACCAAGGACCTCAAAAGAGACGGTAAAAATAAGAGTCTTGCTCATAACCTCTTCCAACCTTATCCATTATAAACACCTGGGGTCCGAATGCAACCGATCCATTCAAGGGTTCTAATGCAACTGCTTGCGCAAGACTTTGCTTCAAATAAGAAACACAACCCACCATCAATTCAATGTAAACACAACATTTTCTCATAATATAATTCAAGTGATCGAAACACAACTACCACCACAATTAAGTTTCCCATTGTATTAAATGTTTTAAGTTAAGGTTAGAACAATTTATAGAGACAATAATTTCCATACAAGTATGAGCATTATCGAAGTACCATTGCAAGGAAATATAGACACAACATATGTAATTGCCATATTAAAACTCAAACAAGTGATAAGAAGTACATTCATAAAATTAATAAAATAAGATCACTAACAAACATAAATTTTCAGATTAGATACACTTTAAAAATCACAATCTAAGAGACATTTTTAAAAAATTTCCAAACTTGGCCTTGCCATGGATTGTAGAGAATTTTATATAATTTTTTGAACATTTTTTAGAAGTGATATAACTTTCCTAAAATTTTAGTTATTTAATAAATACGCCAGTTCTATCTAAATTCGTCAACCGTTGCGAACATTGAATTTTCTTTCAAACTGCTCACTCTTTTTCGATAAAATTATTTTTTCCATGAAAGCTAACATTTGAAGGAGGTTTTGACATAAAAAAAAAATGAGTTTAAGGAGATTTTTTTGCATTTGTCTAGAGTTTTTTCAAGTGGGCTGTAAAAATCAGTTCTTTGAATACAAAGCTTGAAATAAAAGAAAAAATGAGGTTAAGGAGAATTTTAGACTCAAGATATTCCTTCGGAAATTATGTGAGATAGGTGTAAAAAAAAATAATTTTGCACCGATTAAGAGGAAACACAAATAATGGTGGAATAAAGCTCAACTCTCTTCATTTTTTAACACAAGAGCACCATGCATACAATCTGAAAATAACATTCTAAACATCTAATTCCATGTATTTAGAAGAGAAAATGAAAGAACGGGTTGTGTTGTAACTTATTTGAATGCCTAGTGTAATGTTTCCTCAAAAATTCTTTTCTTTTTCCTCCTCCACCACCAAAGCTCTCTTTACCTCTCCTCTCTCCCTCTCTATGCTTAAATGTGTCTGTTGGTGAGTGTATATGATGTGTAAAATGTGGAAAGTGGTAGTGTTTTTATAGAAAAAAAATGGTGCAAATTGTCTAAAATGTCCTTGGTCAAATTTGAATATTTACAACTCTACCAAAGTCAAAAACTTTTCCATGATTTAAGCAATTTGTCCCAATTTGTACCATTAGTCAAAATCTTTTCCATTAATCAAATTTTTTTCCATGATTTCATAAAACTTATTTCAAAAGTATTACACAAAATTTCCATAGCCATCTTTAAATAATGTAAATATTTTGTGAAAAATATTATTATAATTGATTGTACTTGTATGTATATATATATAGGAAAATGTTTGGTAGCTCAAATTTTTATGGCTCAAATGGCTCAAATCTGTCAAAATGACGTCGTTTTACACTCAAAATCTGTCAAAACGACGTCGTTTTGACAGATTTGAGCCATTTGAGCCACAAAAATTTGAGCTACCTAGCATTGTCGATATATATATATATAAAGAAATGATTTTGAGGCTGTTGTGCAATATTAATAAAGTATGAGTGTATGGGCTCAATTTATGAATTAGGATATCTATTTCAAGTGTAGAATTAATTAAATTAATGATAGAAAAAATAATTCGGTTTAGATTTCTCATTTTCTAATTAAAAGACGATCGACTAAACGAGCCTTATGAGAATCGGAAATATAGGGTTTTGAGCGATTATTCTATAATTAGGGGGTTAATTAATTATTATTAGGATATTGGAAATGATTCCTAAGTTATTGAGATCGATTAGGATTCGCATGGTTTCGATCGGGATGCGTTCTCGATTCTAGGGTTAAAATTGTAAGTAAACGACAAATTAAGAGTTTTTGTTATAATAACTCAAAGGTGAGGGCTTTAATTTATAAATTGAAAATTTTATTTAAGTGTGATATTTAATTGAACTAGGATTCGGGAATTTAATTTGGTTAAAGCTTCTTTGTTTCGAATTAAACGGCGAATTGTGATGAGAGCAGAAACTTAAGATTTTAAGTGATAATTCTATAATTAAGGAGTTAATTAATTATTATTATAGCTTTGGATATAATTTATGAGTTCCCAGGTTTGATTAAGATTTGCGAGTTTTCAGTGAGCGCGTGTTTTCAACTCTAGAGTAAAAATTGAAAATTTTTATATAAATAATTTAAAAGTAGAGTTTAACAAAAAATTACAAAAATCGGAGCATCACATCCAATGATTGTGGAGTTAGCAGTGGAAGTGGTCCTAAATCGCAGTTTGCAATATTAAGGTGGAAGTAATGTCTAATGTCGAAATTTAATCAAGACGAAGGAGGTTTACTTATGTTGTATTTAGTTAGGAGATTTGAAAAGAAATTTGGAAAGAGAAAGGGAAAAGATATGTGAAAATTAAGTGAAATGTAAGTATATTTTATTCACATTCCACCTACCTTTTCTATTTCCCTTTCAAATCCCTTCCTAAATCCTCTAACCTTTTCAAATCTCTTCTCAAATTTTTCAACCGAACATAGTGTTAGTGAACATAGAAATGTTATTTTCCAGCTTCTAAAATTGATGAGTTTAAGGTGGAAGCCAGGTAATGCCATGTATCACAGTACTAAGGTATGCATGCTTGTATATGTTTTGATTAAATAGCAGTTTGCAGAGTCATGAAGTATTGTTAGTGGATGCTGGAAATCGAACCAGGATTTCTGTTAGGTTGTGTTTGGTTGGAGGATTTGTTGAGAGAAATGAAAAGAGAAAAGGAAATAGAAAGAAATGGAAAAACAATTGATAAGATTCGAATTCCAAGCCATGTTTAGTTGAGTTGGGAAATGGAAAAACAAAAGAGCACAAGTGAACCAAAAGACAAAAAGTGGGATTACATTTCCCCCTCACTTTCTTTTCCCCTGTATTTTCCATTATAACCAAACAAAAAGTAGGATTGTATTTCTTTTTTTCTTTCCATTTCTCTTATCAAATCCTCTAACCAAACACAGCCTTAGGATTTATGAAAGACAGTTATATTCTGTTACTGTGTTTGTATATATACATGCAATGTTCATGGTGAGGACTTAAATGTGTTCTTGCTGAGGAGAAACATATGAATAAAGTTGTTTTTTTATGTAATTGGCCCAACGACTCGCAGGGGTCAAAAGTCGTGTAATTTGTTTTTGGATCATAATTTTATCACATATAAACTCATGTTTACAATTTAAATAAATTAAGAAGATTTTATGGTATTTATTGGATTTGTGAAGGGATTTATAACTAGAAAGGAAAAGGAAAGTAAAGATTATTAATAAAATAAAATAAAAATTAAAGAAAAAAAGCTTCTAGTCGATTTCTCAACAAGATGTGACGCTAGTTGTTGGTGATAATTACAAATAAACACCAGAAATTACATAAAATAAAAGTTACAATGACTAATATAGGGGCTGAGACGCGGGAAAATCACTCTCTTTAAGGAGATTCAAGCCCTCTACGGTTAGGCAAAGCCTCACATCGGTGTAGCAGAAAAACCTTGACTTGTCCCCCCAGGATACAACAGTCCGCCTAAGTCATATGGTTTACCAATACTGCACAATTAGTTGAACCTAAAGCTTTATCACACACACCTTTTTTATTTGCCTGATAATCTCACTCAAGACATAACAACACAACCAAAACTTCTTCACCCTTGCACCAAGATAGAACATAAGCTCAAATATATAACAGATAAGGCTTGGAGGTGCCTTGGTGGATATGAAACGGATGAGGACTTGGATGGATAAGCATGGTGGACTTGATGAAGACTCGAAGAGACTTGGAGAGAAAGAAAGAAAAATCAACCTATAACACATTATAATATTAAAATACCTGCTAACATTCCCCCACCTATTTTAATATTATAGGTAACCAAAACTGAGATTATTAGGCAAATAAGAATATTATACATCATGGTAGGTGTGCTCTGCATTGAACCTCCATTAGTGAAACAATAATATCTACTCCAGAACCAATAGTATGCTCAGCATTGAACTATGACTACTTAAAGGAAATAAATAAGTATTGCACACACATAATATTTCAGGTGTTCACAAAGCTTTAAAAGCTAGCACATTACGGCCTTGTGCGATCCTAGGATTTATGAGTGTGTTTGAGAATTAGCCCAAATCTCATAGGTAGCGGCCCCA